TACAAATGAATAGAACCTCCCTCTATAAACTAGAAAACTGAAAATAACAGTCGGCATCTTTGTGTTTGCTTATCGTTAATTGAAAAYCAAGTGCAGAAGATGAAAAARGCGATAACATGAATCACACAGCATCTCGCGTCTTGTAATGAATAGACAGTGCAGTCAACTTGTCTAGCTCATATCATCAATCTAATATATCTTTTACAAGTGAGAGGTTTTCAGTGTCCCATGTTGTTAGTCAGTCTCAGCGTGTGTTTCWGTATTTATTATATTAATTTTTTTMTTTTTTMTTTTTTGCCGTGTGACCATTTTATAAGATTTCCTTCATTCTGTTATGCAGTCTCAGAGCTATTGTATTCTTGACAACAGGGTTTTTCTTTTGCAGTGTACAATTTTATTATTGAGTCTTAATTTRTATTTGAGAATCTATTGTAATCTTGGTAAGAGATATCTTTCTGTAGAGGTTTGATGATAGATTTGTCTCATTTGTTATTTCCAAAATATACTCTAGTCTAACTGGTAACCTTTGTTATTCAGGGATTGTTTAACTTGAGTAACTGTTTATAGCTAAATTCAGCCAACCCAAAATTAAATTTGATTCTACCCAGCTGAGGTGACCTTCGGAACAAATTCAAGGTCAACMAATCAGAATCACTAAAAACGACATTAAAACAACAAACAGAAAGAGCACTGGCGCGCGCTAGATGACGCCCTGCAGTAGGGTAAGGTAAATTTAAACTGCATCCGGTTTCTAAAAATAGCCCAACCGGGAATTTACATGGCGTGCGCCTTGTTAAGAAGTTTCCCTCTCTTATTTATGCTTTCTTAGTTGTAGTCAAAAATATTTGACCCATAATCCCTTTCGGGGAACGCAGTCAACCCAGGACGGGAACTCTGATGGGAATTTCCCTTTGCCAGATTAGCAGAATGAAAAAAAGAAATCAAAGGCTGATATCGACTTTGATAAACATTAATTAAACTAACAGTGAAAAACTTTAGGAGACTTTGAAACACCGATATTTTTGTTTGGACTAATGCATGTTCGAGCCGATGTTCTGATAAGTAAGATTGTATAGTTCCAGGTGATGCTAAGTGAAAGATATATGACATAGAAGGGTAGTTTTGTGTGGAGGTTATGAAAGAGTAGCTTCGTAGAATAACAAATAGCTTGTAGACTGAATGTCTCCCMAAATACAGCACAATATTTGAAGACATCACTTTTGGGACTTCTCATGCAAATCATGAATATACATTTATCAAGACATAAGGGCTTTGCATGTCAGGCCCTCGCCTTTTAGGATTATTAGGGATTTTTTATAATAAATAATTGACAAATTAGTGACCAAAAATTTTCCTTTTGCTTAGTTGTGAATCTTCGTATACACCGGTGCTCGTGATCAAACACGCGCATTCGCAGTAGCCTGCGTAGCCGGCCCTCTTTTAGGCCGCAAAAGAGGGCCGGCTACGCAGGCTACATTCGCAGTGACTCGTATCAACAGAACTTGCGTTCCTTTTGGTCAGCTGATTATCCATAAGAAACGAATCACACTGGGGACAAGATTGGTATGCATATAACTGTTGATGTAATTCAAACAATGACAAACTGGAACAAATGTAAATCACTGATTATTTATCATATATAGAGATTATCACATGTTAAGAGCTTGATATCGTTTTTTTTTTTCACGAGTTTTTCGTATATGATATCGCGAATGAGCGAGTCCTCGAGCGATGTCGACCCTAAATGTCTAATAATTTGCTTTATTTCAAATAAATGTGCAGCCAAAAGTAGAAAACAACAAAATATCATGAAGGAAAGATCACGGGAAATTTCTTTAGATACTTGAAATGTTTATGGAGTACGTTTCGATCCGTTACCACGGATCTTCTAAAGTGATCTGAATAGGATCACTGATCGAAAATTAACGTCGGAGTTAAATAATATTATCAAAAGCTCTAAGTCGGAGACAAACATTTCAAGTATTATTATGAATCCTGACGTCAATAATAGTATTTTAAAATTTTGTTTTGCTTTTTCCTTTCCTCAGTTTATGCGTATACCTCTTCTTCAGATTCATCTAGTTCTCTTTGAAAGTCTAGTATAACAGTTTTGCATATCTTTCTTTGCATATATTGTGTTATTTTTTCGAAATAATCGTGATAAATGCCATAGACATTCCATTCTGTGATTTCAAACCGACTTAGCCAGCTTCTAGCAGCGAGTGCGCACTTCAGAACAATCCATACATGTACACATCGGTACACGACGTTCCTTCGTTGTTGTCTTCGGTAAAGTCCTTGAGATCATGTCCATACCAGATACGATACTCTTGACCAACATTAACTTCCATCGGTGTTGTAAAGTTCTTAAAGATCAGTTCAGGAGCCTCGGAAGCCGTACCTGGTATAACATATGACATATCTATATCACTTACGTTAGATTCGTCTCGAGGAAGAATCTTTTTGTCTTGGTCGTTGGTAATGATAGTCAATAAGCGGTCCAGTCTACCATYGTATGGTGCACATCCCCAGTTACTTCGGGCTGAAGTCGAGTCTGTAGTACATGCTACATATCCAGATCGATGGACCAGCTTGACGGTGATGACTGTTCCATTTTTTGTGATGTTAAAGYGACCAAACGCCGAGTCTTTAGCTCCAAAACAGACAGGATCGGTGTTGATCTTCAGCCATTTGTCTGTGAATGATAACRAAACCGCACATCTAAGTCATGAGTGCTTAAACTCAACCGCATATTGTAATTAACAGGTGTAATAAACTTACACATTTTGATGCGAATGTTGCACAAATTACCCGTAAATCCTTGCGGGCAAAGGCACTGGAAGTCAATAAGCCCAAGGCTTTTACACGTTGCACCATTGAGAYATCTCGAAATAACACAGAAATCCTGAAATAGAAAATTTTTTTTCTGAAAGTTTTTGATATTTAAATCAGTTATTCCAAGTAAACCACCCGCCATATAACTGTCAGCTAGATATCTTTTCTCTTTCAGTCACGGCAGATGTGTCCGCAAGTTTCGCACTGCTCGCTCTCACTCTCACTTTCAAATCTGCCATCATATTTGAGCAGAATTGATTCTTGGTTTTGATTTACCATCAGAGTGGTAAGCTAAATTACTTATAAAAAATCTATCCCTTCCAGAATGGTCAAAAGCTACTGAACTATTCGAGACACCCTAATGTGAAATT